CATTGTAGATGTAGAGAGAGAGAGAGAGAGAGAGAGAGAGAGAGAGAGAATTTTACAGGTCTACAGAACTGAGCTTCGTGGTTGCAAATTGGGCTTATGGGATGGGCTGGAGTGATGCTTTATTGGGCTTGGGCTTTCCTTCAGCTCAACCTTTGAAACAAAACTTGAACATCGTCAAAAGACTCAAAACTCGATCTGACTCGGAGTAACAGGCCAACGGCCATTGGATATAGGCCATGGAAGCTGTAACAGTAACCTCACCGCCTCCCCGCCATACATTTGGTTCACCGCCACCAACTGCAATAACTGTAATAATCACCAAACCTTCAAGCTGAAAGCTTTAACACGACGGCAACAAAAGACTCCGACTTTTGCCGAAAACGACGCGTTTCCGGACTCTTTACCACTCCATACCAAGAACCCACATGCCATTTACAAGGACATACAGAGCTTCGCAAGGCGCAACAAGCTCAAGGAGGCCCTGACCATCTTGGACTACTTAGACCAACAGGGCATTCCAGTTAACGCCACCACATTCTCTTCCCTTATCGCCGCTTGCGTCCGTACAAGGTCAGAAGATCATGGAAAGCAAATCCACACGCATATACGGATTAACGGGCTCGAAAGCAACGATTTTATACGTACGAAGTTGGTCCATATGTACACTAGTTTTGGTTCAGTGGAAGATGCGCAACAGCTGTTCGATGAAAGTTCTACCAAGAGTGTGTACTCGTGGAATGCCTTGCTTAGAGGCACTGTCATTTCGGGTGGGAGGCGATACCGGGATGTTCTTCATACTTATACGGAGATGAGGGCCTTAGGGGTCGAGTTGAATGTGTATTCTTTCTCTAGTGTAATGAAGAGCTTTGCGGGTGCTTCGGCGCTTTCACAAGGTTTAAAGACGCATGCCCTTTTGGTTAAGAATGGTTTTATTGATAGCTCGATTGTTCGGACGAGTTTGGTTGATTTGTACTTCAAATGTGGCAAGATTAGGCTTGCCCACCGCGTTTTTGAAGAATTCGGTGAACGAGATGTTGTTGTATGGGGAACCATGATTGCAGGTTTTGCGCATAATAGGCGGCAAAGGGAAGCTCTGGAGTATGCTAGGATGATGGTAGATGAAGGAATAAGACCGAATTCGGTTATATTGACTAGTATTCTTCCTGTGATTGGAGATGTTGGGGCTCGAAAACTAGGGCAGGAGGTTCATGCTTTTGTGCTGAAGACAAAGAGTTATTCGAAGCAGATTTTCATTCAGTCTGGCTTGATAGATATGTATTGCAAGTGTGGAGACATGGATATGGGGAGGCGGGTTTTTTATCACTCAAAGGAGAGGAATGCAATTTGTTGGACTGCTTTGATGTCGGGTTATGTTGCAAATGGGAGGCCTGAGCAGGCATTGCGATCGGTCATTTGGATGCAGCAGGAAGGGTTTAAGCCTGATTTGGTCACGGTTGCCACCGTCCTTCCAGTTTGTGCAGAGTTGAAGGATTTGAAACGAGGGAAGGAGATTCATGCTTATGCTGTCAAGAATTGTTTCTTGCCCAATGTATCTATAATTTCTTCCCTAATGGTAATGTACTCAAAATGTGGAATCTTTAAGTACTCTAGAAGACTATTTGATGGGATGGAGCAGAGAAATGTCATTCTCTGGACAGCCATGATTGATTCCTATATTGACAACGGGTGCCTATATGAGGCACTTGGTGTGATAAGGTCAATGCTCTTATCGAAGCACAGGCCAGATTCGGTTGCAACAGCAAGGATTTTGACTACTTGCAATGGACTGAAGAATTTGAAGCTTGGGAAGGAAATCCATGGACAAGTTTTGAAGAAGGATTTTGAGTCCATCCCTTTCGTTGCATCTGAAATAGTGAAAATGTATGGGCACTGTGGAGAAGTTGATCATGCAAAGTCAGCTTTCAATATAATCCCTGTCAAGGGTTCAATGACATGGACTGCAATTATAGAGGCTTATGCCTACAATGGCATGTATCGGGATGCTATCGATCTTTTCGATGAGATGAGATCTAAAGACTTCACTCCAAACCATTTCACTTTCCAAGTGGTTCTATCTATCTGCGACCAGGCTGGATTTGTCAATGATGCTTGCCGTATCTTCCATTTGATGTCTCGTGTATATAAAGTGAAGGTTTCTGAAGAGCAATATTCTCTGATCATTGGACTTCTTACTCGTTTTGGTCGCGTTAAGGAGGCTCAAAGATTTTTACAGTTGAGTTCGTCTCTGTAGTAACAAGGATAATAATTGAACCTTCCTTCTTTCATATGTAAATTTATTCAGCTCTTGAAATGAAACTTCTTTGTGATCATCAGTTTTTCTTTTCTGCTATTTCACAAGTGTATAGAGACCCATTTGTATCTTCATGTATCCTAGCATTTCTGTTTTATCACTTTGACATCGCGGATGAGAAAAATAGGTGATCTGTAATTTTTTTCCAGACAAATATATTTCAGATACAAGTGCCTCATTTGTTTGCTGGTCAATGCAGCAGCGGTTTCTAGTTTCCTATATAGCCTTGTATAACCAAATAATTTACTTCATAGGCCATGTTTGGATTGGATTATAAGGTAAAAATGGATCACATTGAGTTGGAGAGGATAAGACGAATCCAATGATGTGTTTGGTGTTACACATGATCAAGACGCTAGATTAATTGAAATATGCTATTACACGGCCCTAGCAGAATTAGACATAATCCAATTCTTGTTTTTACGCTACCAAATATTTAATTATAATTATGAATCATGTCCAGTTACATTATATAATCCAGTTCACCAACGGGATAATTCAGTACTCCTGGAATGAAATTGAGAACTCTCGTTGAATAAAAAATCTCAAATATGAACAATTGGAGTAACTATGGTGTAACATTATAAAACAAAAAATCTGCAATTCTGAAACTCAAACTATCAAAATACTTGGTTAAGTAAGAACAAGCAATTAAGAAACAAAGATATTAACCCAATACAGAATCGGACCAGTTAAACTCGAAAGGGTGGTCAGTGGACCCATCATCAAGGGGATTGACAAACATATATACATGGGACCCATCTTGGACTCCATAATCAACGAGCAAAACCCCATCTACATCATCTCTGATGAGATGGCTACGATGACGATCATGATCATCATCAGTGTCAAGAATGAAGATCAGACGGTCATA